AGGCTGTGAAGAATTTGCCTGGCATCCAGGCTGGCTAACTCTCCTTTTTCTTTTTTTGTTCTTTATCATTAGGCTTCCTTGAACTTTAACTGAACCATAAGGAAACTATGAAGACTCTCAATAGCTGCCCTGTGAGGATTTGACTTACCCATTGGATCTGCTATTTATAGTGTCCATTAGTACAAAAATGTCCTTTTGCAGCAGTCATGTATAGCAAAAGCACTGCTCTTCTGGCGAACTGCCTGTGCCTCCTGTGTCACCCAAAATATCCATCAACAGAGTGTTCAGAAGTGAGCCTTTCTTGATTAAAAAAACCCGGTCAAACAAACAAAAAAAAACCCCAAACCCAGAGGCCATTTGTATTTTTATTTACTTATTTTGCATAGCCTGAAATTAAAATTTCTGTTTTTCAGGAGGCAACGTTTCACCCCCAGCCATGTCTCCCTGCGGAACATAATCTTTGTCCCAAGCAAATTAAATCAGGAAGAGAGCTGAGAGGATGGGAACTGTCTTCCAGCCTTGGAGAGCCCATTTGTACCCCAGAACCAGGCTGGATGTGAACAAGTATAAATTCTGTAACAAAGGAGACCATTTTTACTAGGGATTTGTCTTACCTTGCTGGGAGGAGGCTTGCAGTAGCTTGGGTGATGGAGAGCAGGTGACCGAGTGGGTTTCCTTTGGATATGCTCCAGGGTACTAAATCTGGTGTACATTTGCATATTCTATATCTGCAAAATTAATTGGAGCCTTTTCTTAAAATTTTCATGTGAAAATAAGCTTAAACAATTGATTCTCCTAACAGTCTTCCTAATTGAGTCTTGATTTGTTCATCTGAGCTAACAGTACAGACTTGATGATGTTACTTTTGTCAGTAGTGTTGTGATTAGTAGATTCATGGAAATTTTGACAGAAGGGTCACATGTTACATCCTCCAGGTGTAAAGTGGTGGTGGCGGTTGGCGTGGGGTCTTCTGGAGCCATGGTATTCTGCGAAGCTCTGTGCCATTCTCCATGCTCACTAAAGCTGTCGGGTTGATGCTCTTTCCTGTTCTGAAAGAGAAGAATCTGAACAGGGATATACCAAGTATCAAAGGACGCTTTATGGAAGAGTGGCTTGTTTTCTACCTGTGTATCTTACCCATGCAAGGTGCTGCAGCACGCCGGCTGCATGGTGCGGCGTGGGAGAGGGCACCACGTGTCTGCAGGAAGAGGATGGGCCAAGCCACAGGTTCATTCTCCCAGTTTTCTTTGCTGTCACTTGTGCTTTGCAGTCTACGTGTACCTCACAACACAGGGAATTGTCAGGACCTGTAATGATTCCAAGGGACCCTTTCTGTCCAGACCACTGCTCTGCAACAGCAGCACCACTTGACAGTCTGGGAGGGTCTGGGAGGTATCTGTTCCATGTTTTTAACGAGAGGAAGGAACCAAGAAGTGCTGAGAAGAACCCCTAGCGTCCAACAGGTGTGGAAGCAGGAGAAATTCGAAAAGCCCCAAAATGAGGTGCAGGCCCCTGAAAGGCAGGGCTTTAAATCAATATCCCTGTTCTTTGGTCCATAGGACTAGCTGCATGCATGACTTGATTTATGGGGTTATAGTGCTTGATCTACTTAACAACAAAGGGGATTTTGATCTCATACTAGGGGCATGTTGTTGAATAGAGTGACGGAGAACTAGAGCTGCTGTGTGCAATCTCATGCTAATACAGGCATCTATATCATATGTAGTCCCTTTCGTAAATGTATTGAGCTCCATCTCAAAACTGGTTGAGTTGTTTCCTATGTGGAAAGCTGCCAGAACTTCACACCCCTGACAGTAGGAAAGCAACATCTTCAGGTTTCTAGTTTGAATTTATCCTTGGCGAGTTTATACTCATGTATTCTTGGGCTAACAGTTTTTTAAATCAGCTTATTTTTTTCGTTGCTTGGTAGTTGCTCTGACATCCTCATCCATCTACTCTTACTATTAGCTGCAGCCAATAAAACTGTTGCAGTCACTGCCCTGCTGGCAACCAGTCAGGGGGGAAGTGAATTGTAAGATTTAAATACCAACAATTATGAATGTTCTTTGCCAGTGGGTGGGTTTTTTTAATATCTCATTACATAGTTTGTGCAAAAGAGAGATTAACGTAGCACTTTGTTTTTAGACAAACATGACTGTGAAAGTCAAGTAACTCATATCTATGCTTTTTGGGAGAAAAAAATCAGCTTTTCTAAAGGACAAACAAAGAGGAATAACTTTACATTAAAAGTACAAAGGAATTCTGTAAGAGTACTAACTGTGAGAAGAAATAATCATTATTAATCTAATGGACAGCATCCCTTGTTAGGGTGGTTGCTGTAAAGTTACATGTAGGGCATTGATTTAAATATACTTCCCCTTCCCAGCCAGTCCTCGCCTGAAGGACATAGTAATGGGTGAGCAGAGAGCTTTTATTTCTGCCCTCGGGATCGTGATTAATGGGGGCTGTGCGAGAGTCTCCTGGCAGGAGCAGGGTGTATTGCAGTCTGTCATTAGAAACCTCTGTCTCCATGTGAGGGGTGGAGCAGCACTGAAATTCTTGCTCTGTTTTCAGGTGTGTGTCCAGCTGTGCAGCTGGTGGGCCTGCAGCCATGCAGCTTGTTGACTTCCCTAGGGCTCAGCTCCGTGTCGGGTCCCGGCACCCTGTGTTTGAAACAACTCTCAGCCAGCACTCAGAAATAGCTGGAGTGTGAAGGGGTTTATTTCCGCTGAGTTTGGCTGTGAGAGGGAGGAATATGCCGATTAATGAGTAAGGGAGAGTGGGCTAATACACAGATAAGAAAACGAAACCCTTTTTCTCTGAATTCTTTTGTAGATGGTTCTGCTGGACCAACCCTTAAGTCCTTGATTTGCTAGACCAAAGGTGCCTGAACTTCCCTTAGGGCAGGAAACCTCTCTGGTTACTTCCATATGCAGTTGTGTGCCCGATGATATTTCACTGCACCTTTGAGTGGGTCTAGAGTCGAGATGAGATACAATTTCTCACTTTGGAAGTATTTACTCCCTGAGTGGTCCCACTGCTGTCCTCCCTTCACTCACCAGAGCACGTGGTTCCTCAGCCCCTCTTGGGCATGCCACACATTGAGGGCAGTGGGGAAGAGCGAAGCATGGGTCCTGTGGCACCTGGGTCTGTCAAGCATGCAATGTCTCAGCCGGCTCCACGCGAGTCCTCCTTCCCTGTGCCGAGCACAGCAAGAGCAAACAGCTGGGAGTCAAGCCTGTGTCTGAGACCAGGGCCTGAGCCCATCCCACCAAACAAATGTTATCTTCTGCAATCCCTGTGCGTGATATTCAGACCTACTGTTTAAATAAAGCTTTGTGTTGCAGTCTTAACAGGGGTGAGGAGGACAAAGTATGCATTTTAATCATACAGAAATGTTATTTGGCCCTTCTTTTTCAAGTCCCTCATCAGCATAGATGTCTGTCTGGGAAGTGCCTTTAATGTATACTAACGGTGTGCTGGTGAGGAGGAAGTATCATCCAAAGTGCATGTAAGAAGGCAGCTAACTCCATATATTAAATGTCAAGAAATCCCATTACTCAGCTGGCCATTCTACCCCGTTTGCAAAACAGTACCTGCAAAAACATTTCTAGACATTTAATAAATGATCATCTTAAAATTTTGCAGTTGATGCACATTGTCCCTAACAGAAAGAGCATTTAATAATGATGCTTTGTGCATCTTACTGTAAAGGCTGGGGTCCTGGTTTTTATAAATACTCAGCAATTTCCACTAAGATCTTTGGAATATCTAGTCCTTCTATTTTATTTTTAATGACTTCAGTAAAGCCTTTGACACCGTCTCCCACAGCATTCTCCTAGAGAAGCTGGCGGCTCACGGCTTAGACAGGTGTACTCTGCGCTGGGTCAAAAACTGGCTGGACAGCCTGGCCCAGAGAGTTGTGTTGAATGGAGTTCAATCCAGTTGGCGGCCGGTCACGAGCGGTGTTCCCCAGGGCTCAGTTTTGGGGCCGGTCTTGTTCAATATCTTTATCAATGATCTGGATGAGGGGATTGAGTGCACCCTCAGTAAGTTTGCAGACAACACCAAGTTGGGCGGGAGTGTTGATCTGCTCGAGGGTAGGAAGGCTCTGCAGAGGGACCTGGACAGGCTGGATCAATGGGCCGAGGCCAACTGTATGAGATTCAACAAGGCCAAGTGCCGGATCCTGCACTTTGGCCACAACAACCCCATGCAGCGCTACAGGCTTGGGGAAGAGTGGCTGGAAAGCTGCCTGGCGGAAAAGGACCTGGGGGTGCTGGT